ACATGAAAAAATGCTCATCATCCTTAATCATCAGAGAAATGCAAATCAAAACCACTTTGAGATATCATCTAACTCCAGTAAGATTAGCCACATCACAAAATCCCAAAACTACAGATGTTGGCATGAATGCGGAGAGAAGGGGACGCTTCTACACTGCTGGTGGGAATGAAAGCTAATACTACCTTTTTGGAAAGAAGTTTGGAGAACACTCAAGGAACTAAACGTAGACCTACCATTTGATCCTGCAATTCCTCTACTAGGTATATATCCAGATGATCAAAAATCATTTTACAACAAAGACATCTGCAGCAGAATGTTTATTGCAGCCCAATTCACAATATCCAAGACATGGAAACAGCCCAAGTGCCCATCGACCCATGAATGGATTAACAAATTGTGGCATAATATGTACACCATAGAATACTATGCAGCCATAAAAAGATGGAGCCGTCACATCTTTTATGTTTACCTGGATGGAGCTGGAACATATTCTTCTTAGTAAAGTATCTCAAGAATGGAAAAAAAAGTACTACTATGAAATCAATATGTAACCACCTAATACACTCATATGAAAGGCAAAACATAACGATAGTCTAGAAAGTAGAAGAGAAGAGGAGAGGGAACATGGGAGGAGGGAGGGTATTTGGAGGGACCTCATCTAATAATGTGCATGATGCAATGGTACATTTCAAAACTATTAAGAAATAAGTATAATTGTGATGGATGTGTTACTTAGTTCAATGTAAGCATTTCACATTGTATATCGAAGCAGTACCCTGAACCCCATAAATGCATCAATGTACAAAGTTACGATTTAATAAAAAAAGAAAACTTGAGCTGGTTCTAAAATTTATATGGAAGCATAAAAGGCCTAGAATATTCCAGAACAATTTTAGAAATATGAACAGTTAATAGCTGAGAGGAATAGTTAGGGAGAAAAATCACTCGTCTCGATAGCAAGACTTAACATAAAAGCTACAATACTAAAAACAAGGTAATATTGAGGAAGGGGAGATCAACAACTTGGACCAATGTAGAGATCCTAGAATAAAAACAAATTGTATGTAGTATCTTTTGTCACATGACAAATTTGGCATTAGAAATAAGTACAGGGAATAATGAACAATTCAGTAAGTAGTCAGTCTAAGACAAATGCCATTTGGAAAAAATAAAACTGAATCTTTATGTCATACTAAAAACTAAAATTCCAGATGGATTAAAGACCTAAATATGAAACCCAAAACTTTTAGAATAAAATTACTACTCTGGGGTAGGGGAAAAAATTTTTGAACAAGATAGAAAAGGCACAAACTATAAAGGAAAAGATTAATGGATTTGACTATATGAAAATTAAATATATACATATGTCAAAGAAGTCATAACGTTCAAAGAAAAGCTATAAGCTAAGAGAAGATGTTTGCAATGTAATAAATATGGAAAAGGATTAGTATATCCAGGAGTGATGTAAATAACTTCTACTGGGCAGCACCTGTGGCTCAAAGGAGTAGGGCGCTGGCCCCATATGCCAGAGGTTGCGGGTTCAAACCCAGCCCTGGCCAAAAACTGCAAGAACCC